TATATATATATATTATATATAATATTCTTCGTCTTTAGATACATAGGGTACACGAAATTTCTCATCTTTTCTTCACTCACTATATCTGGCTTGGAGAAGAAATATAGCCCACCATGCGAGGATGGGCGCTCATGAGAACCGGAGCTGGCATAGTGGATGTGAACTAGATAGTAGGTAACGAGAAACCTCGTAGACTTGGAAATAATTACCCTCAACTAATGACTGTGTCATTGCATCAAAAACATCTAATTAGAAAAACTACCTCAAAAACGAGAGGACGAATATAAGTGGTAGAAATTTACAGAATCATGTATGGGGAGTCCCGAGGTTTAAAAGACTAAGTAAGAAAAAGACACTTTTTTCAAACTTAAAGTTCGAAAATAGGCCATCAAGGGGGCCAAAATCGGTAAACGGCAGCGGAAAGGGCGTGGGGAACGACGTCAAACACGCTCGGTAGGGACCAATGTATAGTTTGTGCAAAACTTACGGAACTGGCACAGGACTCCCGTTTTGAAAAACTAAGTCAAAAAATGGCACTTTTTTCACACCTTAAGGTTAAAAAATAAGCCATCGCGGCCAAAATCGTGTAAGCATTCAAAATAGAACCCAGGGGAACACACGCTTGGGGAAGGGATCAAGTATGTTATTGTAAACTTACAGAACTAGCACGGGGACTCGCCGGTTTTGAAAAACTATCCGAAAAAGGCACGCTTCTCACACTTAAGCTTGAAAAATTGGCCCATCAAGGGGGCCAAGAATGCGTGTAATAGTCACGAGAAGGCCCCATGGAACACATCAAACAACTTTGGGAAGGGACCAATGTAAGTTGTGGAAAACTTAAACGGAACTAGCACGGGACTTCCGGTTTGAAACTAATTTGAAAAAAGACATTTTTCTCACACTTACAGCTACAAATAGGGCCATCGGGGAACCAAAAAAATCGTGTAACAGCCACGAGTAGCTCCCGTGGAACAGCCTTCAAGCACCTTGGGGAGGGACCCGATGTAAAGGTTGAGAAAAACTTACGGAACTAGTGACGGGAGCCTCCTGGTCTTGAAAAAACTATATCAAAAAATTCAATTTTTTGCACATTTAAGCCTTGTAAATAGGCATCGGGGGCCAAAATCGGTGTAACTATCAAAAGCGAGAAGGCCGCGGGGAACAACCGCAAACACCGTCGGGATGGACAATGCAAGTTGTGAAAGCTTACGGAACTTGCACGGGACTCCTGGTTTGAAAATTAAGTTAAAAAAGGCAACTGTTTCCACACTTAATCATGAAAAATAGGCCATTGGGTGCCAAGTTTGTGCGTAAACAAGTACACGAGAAAGCCCAGAGAAAACCTTGAACACCTCCAGGGGGGACCAATGTAAGCTTGTGGAAAACTTAAGAACTAGCACAGGACTACCGGTTTGAAAAACTAAGTCGAAAAAAGGCACTTTTTTCACAACTTAAGCTTTGGAAAATAGGCAATCGGGGGCGCAGAAATCGTGTAACAAGTCACGAAAGATGGCGCCGGGGAACACATCAAACACCGTTAGGGACGGACCAATGTAAGTTGTGGGAAATTTACGGAACTGGCACGACACTTCCGGTTTGAAAACTGAAGTTGAAAAGCACACTTTTTTCCACACTTTAAGCTTGAAAAATAGGCCATCGGGGGCCAAAATCGTATAACAGGCGCGATACTTTCCGGGGAACACCTCAAACACCTCTAGAGGGACCAATGTAAGTTGTGGAAAGTTACAGAACAAGCATGGTACTCCCAGTTTGAAAACTAAGTCAAAAAATGCTTGTTTTTCACTTAAAGCTTGAAAATAGGCCATCGGGGGCCAAATTTTTGTAACAGTCACGAGAAGACCCGGGGAACACTTCACACCTCGAGAGAGAGAAGAGAGAGAGCGAGAGAGAGAAGAGAGACAAAGAGAGAAGAGAGATAGAGAGAGAAGAAAGATAGACGAGAGACACAGAGAAAGAGAGAGACAAACAGATAGAGAAGAGTGATGAGTGAGAGAGTGAGAGAAAAGAGAGATAGAGACATAGAGAGAGAGACAGACAGAGAAAGAAGAGTGATGAGTGAGAGAGAGAGAGAGAGAGAGAGAGAGATAAAAGAGACAGAGACACATAGAGAAAGAGAGACACAGACAGAGATGAGTGAGGGAGAGAAAGAGAAGAGAGACAGAGAGATAGAAAGATGAAAAAATGGGTGAAAAGAGAAATGTTCAAAAGAGTAAGACGACGTCGTTTTTATTTTTTTATTTTTTTTTGTAACAGAAAAATGCCGTTGCATTTATTTAAACCATTTTATGACTATATATATATGAAGCCGTCTCAAAGCCACAATATATATATATATATATATATGTTTTTTATTTTTTATTTTTTTTGCAACGATACGTATTACAATCGCAAAAAACTCTTCTGTTTTCTTTTTTCGACTGCAGCTGGTACCTTTTTTTTTTTTGCGACAGCAGTTTCTGTCGTCAGAAATACTCTTTTTTTTGTGACGGCAAGTTGTGCCGTCTCAAAAAGTCACATTTTTTTAGACGGGAAGTTGTGCTGTTTCCAAAAGTCACATTTTTTGCGACGGCAAATTATGCCGTCTCAGAAAGTCACATTTTTTGAGACGGCAAGTAGTGCCGTCGCAAAAAGTCACATTTGTTGCGACGGCAAGTTGTGTCGTCTCAAAAAGTCACATTTTTTGAGACGGCAAGTTGTGTCGTCGCAAAAAGTTCCGTCTCATAAGCCCACTTTTCTTGTAGTGATACCATCCAGTGTTGTTTTGGGGATCCTTCGGTACTTGTGGGAGAAGGGAGACAATGGAGGACACTCACTTTCTTATGCCCCAATGTGCGGTGAGAAGGATATCCATGTGTTTGGAATCTTTGATGGTCATCGAGGTGCGTCATAAATTAAGAGCTACTTATTTTCATCCTATTGGTGTATTTGGTACCAAACTCAAGCAACAGTGGATTTTAATGAGAACTAAAGCTCATGTGGGTGATCACAATATTAATTAATAAACAATTGCTTGGGCATCACTTGAAGTGTTTCTTAATGAAACCAGAATGACATAATGAGCATTACAAAGCCCAACTATTACAAAATGGAATTGTTTTGGAAATTAGTTTTAAGAAATAAATGTTTAAATTCTTGAAGAATTCCTTTTTTTTTTCTTTTTTTTTGTAATTCTTTTTGGTTGTTTCCAAACATAGCCTATGTGTCGTGCATTAGTTGCTCTAGATTACAATAAAAATGGCACGATCAAATGCAGGTGCAGCAGCTGCTGAGTTTTCTGCTCGAGCTCTACCAGGATTTTTGCATAGTCTTGGTTCCATAAAAAGGTTTCTTCCATTCTATTATTCTTGTGGGCTCTTTACATTCTATAATCTATATATGAATCTATTTAATAAGAAGTACATATTTTTATTTTGTATTTGATAACAATGCAGTCCGTCCGATGCATTACTAGAAGCATTTGTCAAGACAGATGTTGCATTCAGGAATGAATTGGATTCTCATCGTAAATCTAAGGGAGTTATTCAGAAAGACTGGCATCCTGGTTGCACAGCCATTGTGGCTCTTCTAGTCAGAAACAAGCTTTTTGTTGCTAATGCTGGCGATTGCAGGGCAATGCTATGCCGAGCTGGCAGTGCTTATGCTCTAAGTAAGGTGAGATCGGACTTGATTTATCAACTAAATGACTGTGTAGTTGAAACATTCTATTAGAATAAAACATGGACCTTTTTAAACTTATTTTATTAAAAATTGTCTCCTTTGCTTACCCAAATGGGTTAAATTGTTCTCCAACTAATTCAACTTGATGCTGTAGGATCATGTTGCAAGTTGTCCCGAGGAGAGAGAACATATTATCAGTGAAGGGGGACAGGTCAAATGGCAAGTTGACACGTGGAGGGTTGGGCCTACTGCTCTCCAGGTTTTCTTCTTATCCTTTGCTTAACGATATTCTAGAAAAATGTGTAGACTATTGTCTTCTAATATGGTTCTCTATTGTGAGGAAGTATATAATATAAACTTATTTGTTTCGTCAAATTCTTTTTGCACCAAGTGTTAAGACACATGGACCACCACTACAACCTATATCTAGGGATATCTTGAGCATTATGATTACCAAAAATACTTATGATCACTAAAACATGAGAGAAAATATAAAAGGTAAGGAGTTGGTCCTCGAATCCTACTCCAACTTCTGAGCGTAGCGAGGAGGCTCCTTGTGTCCTGCATCGGCTGGTAGTTGTATGGAGGGTTCATCAGTTGTCACCATGAAGAGGAACATTATGCAAGTTGGGCTCAAAGCATTCGATGTGGTTGTTGACGGGGTTGATCGCAAGAAGATGTGGGTCGCAAAAAAGGGTAGATCTCTGCAAAGATCCCTGATGTTGGGATTTGAAGTTCCTTTGTTGGTTCAAAAGAAGCTTCTTAATTCCTGAAGAGAGGTCTTTTGGGCAGTCTCAACCTCTCAGAGGGCGCATAGGCTTTTGGAGGTCTAGAGACTGGTGAATAGGAGTGGTTGCTCCTTGAGGTTAGGATTTTTGGGGCAAATCAGTGGCAGGTTGTCACACCCCACCCCAATTTCATATTATAAATCTAAGGCATGGTGGTTAAGGGTTAAAGGCTAGTTAAGATTATTAAGTTAAAATAGTGAGATCTTCTATTGTAAGTTCATATTAGATTATTCACCCAAAAAACAAAGTTCATATTAGATGTGGACTGATTCAAACGAGTAGGGTGATTGATGTATGTTTTAAAGCCTAATTTAGTGTTCAAGGGTTCAACAACAAAAATGGAAACGAATAGCAAAGCAAATGATTTAGATTTCAACAACCAGACTTGCTTCATATTGTGTGTGTTTATAATCCTAGTGTATAAAAGTAGCACACACCGAACTCTCTTTCCTCCCTACTCAAATCCCATTACATTACACAAAAGAAATAGTACAGGTACAACTTTCAGGTATATACATTACACTTTACAATCAGCTCACAACAGTACAGTAAAAAAATAGGGTAAATTACATTAAACCCCCCTCAACTATGACCTATTTTTGAGTTGCCCCCTTAATGTTTTAAAGGCAACACTTACCCCCCTTGAAGTATATGAATTGCAAAAGTCATTAACACTGTTAACAGAAATTATTAAGTTACCCTTTTACCCTTCAATTGTATTGCTACCAGACTACCATTATCTTCTTCAACCACTACCTAATCTCTTCCAAACCCTAATCAAATCAATTCAATCCCAAACCCTTAATTCCACAGTGTCTCCACAATTCCGATTAACAAACACAACAAATTCATTTGACAAAGGGAGTAAAGTCAGCCACTGTGAATCACCACAACAATCCCATATTTTTGCAGGACCTAATGATCAACGAAGGGAGTGAAGTTTGGGGGTGGCAATGGAGATGGGGGTGTTGTTTAAGGGCTTGGGGTTTTGAACTCATTGAAGAGAGAGAGAGAGAGAGAGAGAGATGAGGGGTTGCCTACAACAGCTTACGGCAATGGCAATGGCAATGGCAACAACGGTGGTTGAAGACAATGGCCCACCTCTCTTCATCTCACTTGCCACATGCAACCCCTCTTCCAGCCTATACCAACTCCTTTTTTTTTCTTTCTTTAGCCAATGGCATCTCCTTCATTGTTCCTCCCTCCTCCCATCTCTGCACCACCACCTTATTTCCCCCACCACTCACCACCTCCCCTTTCGATTCCCACCAAGCCGAAACCCCTTCCCCACAGCCTCCCTCCCACTGGTCAAACACCCCAATACACTAAAAGCCCTATATTAATTCAACATATGAATGACCAGTAAATATCCCCCACCTAATCCACCAGTATATTTACCATCAAAAAACCACCAAAGTCTTTCAGCTGTGGAAACCCTTTTATTAATCAATATCTGGAGATGGCTTGATGGTCTAATAAGATTTGGTTTTCATCCTAAATTGGTATTCATAGCCATGAGAGATTTACTGGTATATGGCTTGCCACGCCCACTCAATTTTCTGGCCATGTAGAGTTGACGGGTTGTGTAAATATAGTGGATAGAAGGCCATGGATATGAGGTGCTCGGAAACGGCGTGGCACAAGGGGCACCGCAAACAGAGGCGATAGGCATTATCAATGGCCATATATGGCTAAATGCATTAGAATGCAATACATGGACTTATAACCACATGAGAGAGGCCTCAAGCTACAACTCACTACATTAAGAGGCCAGGTGATGAAAATGAAAGTGCCTTCGACGCTGCACACGCGGCACGTAAACCGAGGCGATGGCATATGCAATGCCCAATATGGCTAAAATGGGATTTAATGCCAGACATGGACTTAATACTACATGAGAGAGCCCTCAGCCACACTTATTCACCTATAAGGTGGCCGTGGATGAAATGAAATGCCCTTCGGAAACAGCGTGCACCGGGCACGCAAATCGGAGGGGATGCATTATGCAATGCAATATGGGCTAAAATGGCATATAGAATGCAACATGGACTATAACTAACAGAAGAGCCCCAGCCAACTCACATAAGGAGGATCGGTGGAATGAAAATGAAGTGCCTCGAAACGCGTGCCACACCGGGATCACGCAAACCGACGGACGATGGCATTGGGCAATGCAATATGGCTAAAATGGCATGCAAACATGCTAATGGAATTCAGCACTGAAAATGGTGGGGAAAACAGCCGAAAATTGGGAGCGGAAAGTACACGCCGAATGCCATGGAATGCCGAAACTGGAATTTTGGCACCGGAAATTTGCCTATAGCTGTACCAACATGGCAAAATGGTAACACAATGGGAAATGTAAGACAGGAAGCAAGGAAAGCGCCCAAAAAAGAAATTTTACAGTTCAAAGCATTGGCCCAAACATAACCAAAACAAGGGCAGAAGTAAGGATACAAAAATGGCCCCCTAAATGTAGGCAGAGCAACCCACCAGGCTGCTGACCTCCAAAAATGTTAGGGGTCCTTCTACATATAAGAGGGCCAAAAATATGATGTTCAGAACTGGGTAGAAAACCCCAAAAACAAACACAGGTTATGGCGCACTCCTAATGCCAAGAAAATGGGCCAAAGGTTGGCTAAAGAAGGAATGGTAGATGCAAAGGCCCAAACAGAAAAAGACTCTTCCTACAACACTGAAAGAGGGACCAAAAATAAACATTTACAGTGAGTTCGACCAAACAGTATAAAAAGTATGCCTCATAAATGCCATGCAAGACAGGGCCAAAGAGAGTTAAAACACAATAGGCATACAAACATCTCATCAAACAGCAAAAGACCTAATAAACATGAATAGGGTCAAAATAAGACTATTTTCAGTTCTGGTATAATCGTTGCCAAAATGGAATCAAAAGATAGCTAACAATCATGCCAAAAAATGGGGGATTAAAAAGAAGATATAACATGAAGCGTAATGAAATAGCCCTCAAACCAGAAAAGGCCCTTATGAAACAAAGGATGGCCAAATAAGACTTATTTCCAGTTCTGTAAATGACCAAAAAGGCAGCTAAGGGGCTGTACCAAGTCATGCAAAGAATGGGGACCAAGAGTGGATATAATGACCAAGTGCACATGGAGGTCCCCAAAAGTGGATGAGCCCTCTTCAAAATGTTGAAGAGGGGCTGAAAATTAACCTACTTTACAGTTTACATACATGCTCCCCAATAGAATCACCTACACAACTAAAAAATATCATGAAAGAAAATGACATTTAATACGCGGATGGTAACTGTATAGTATACATAATTTAAGGTTTGAATTTAGATCTGCAAGAAATTGTTTATTACACCAGTATGATGAATTACATTTATGCCAAATGACTACTGGTGTGAATGACACTGAAGAAGGTTTTAGATGTTACAAACAAAACTCATATCCAAAAAAGCGGTGGTTTGAGTAGCATTGAATTTTAATAAACTGCTGATTCCTTTAATACACTTTAATATGACCAATTGGAGGGTCAATAGTTGTAAGGGGGAGGGGGGTTTACTTTACATTATATAATCCACACTTAAAAATCACTATATCTGAGTGTTAGATATGAGGAGAGCCATGTGGATAGCAGCATTACAAAATAAAACTATAAAAAAGAAGGTAAATGAAATACTTACACATGTATCATTGCCCATAGACCTGTTACTCTTTCTCTAAAACCTATTCTATAGGATGTTACTCAAAGATATGTAGTGTAATAGTATAGTGGGACCTAATGAAAATGTAAAATAATGAAATTAACCTAAAAACACCATTCAAACTCTTCTTGGGTTCTCTGTAGTGGGTGTTGCGGACAAAAATTTAAAAATTACAACAATTATTGAGTTCAAGCAGTCACTCACTGGAAGATTCATAAGTTTTCAAGCGGCCAACTTGCTATGCACGGTGGCTCCACCGCACCCTTAAGGCCTCTGCACACACCACCACCCACACCCCTTCTTGGCATGTACCAGCATGCAGCACGAAGCGGGCACGACCTAGCGAGAGAGGAGCAGGTATAGCATGGTTTTTCTGGTTATGGATTTTGTTAAAGTTATATATTCCCTTTGGATATTTGTATAGTTTTATCCACGTACAGTGGTCTTGGGAGGGCGCGTTGAACCTGACCTTATCGGTATCTTTGGTATAGAGGAAGATAGACACTAGTTCTTAATCTCAAAGATAATTGGATATTATTTATTTTTATTTTTTAAATTCTAAATTAATGAATTAAGAAACAAACACGCGCTGCGTTTCTATTTTGCAGGGTAATGTACTAGATTAGAAACGTGAGATTAAAAGAGATGAAGAGGAAAACTTATCGAAAGAGGGGGGTTTTAAACACAGGGCAAACACACATGGTCTCCTGCGAAAGGCGATGAATTCTTCTCACTTCTTTGGCCCCGTGCTTCTTCAAAAAATCACTCTCCTTCTAAGCTGGTATGGATCGTGAAAAGCAATTAATTCAAGCCTATTTGTGGTTGAATTTGAAG